AAAAAAAAAAAAAAACAGAAAAACTTACTGATTTTATTACTAACTAATTTGATACTAAAGGTCAACAATCTCTTATCCAAAATTCCAAAAACCGAAGATTTTTTCATGGAGCATGAAGCATCCACTAGTCTGCACAACAACAGTTGTTTACAACTCAAACTTGTCTCTGCTGGTCACAAACATTTTATTTGTTTTTAGGTGATTTTTCAACTTGACATTTTCAATGTCAGAAAGAGCTACAGATTTCCCTTTGGGGATCTGTAGCTCTTTCTGACATTTTCAAATTTTTTAGTTTGGTATTATCAGTCACATTAGTAATTAGTAAAATTCTAGGAAATCCTTACTTTTATAAATTCCAGTATAAGATATGTATATACAGTTTTACTGTTCCAAAATCCAAAAAGTTCCAAATTCCAAAAAGTATCTGGTTCCAAGGATTTCAGATAGAGATTATTGATCTGTATTTGTATTAAATTATTACTAAAATAAATATGTAGTCCAAAAATTAAACAGTTATTAAATTTCTTCAAATGATTAAAGACCATACTAAAATTACAACGTAGGTTTTAAAATTACTATATCTGAAATGATCTCTTATATGTTATTCACATATGGTAATATTGGATGACTATATTAACATTTTCATTTAATTTTAGTATTATTTGCTAAATCATCATATCTATATTTAAAACACACTGGTGTCCAAAATTATGATGATAAAAATCATTTAGCACAATAAATTGAAAACCGCTACAAGAAAAAGTTTTGAAAAAATAAATATACAATTTGACATGACAAACTAAACTATCATATCAATTGGAAGTGACAATTGAGGAAACATGCAAAGCACAAAACAAAGGGAAAATGAATGTTCCATGAATCTGTGTGATTTGACTGTTTTTGAGAAGTAATGTGGTCATGTTAATCAAATTTTGATAAAATGATAATTGCATTGTTGTTTAGATCAGGAGTCACCAAACTACGACCTGCAAGTTTAGTTCATCTGGCCTGCCACCGCACTGTGCCACGAATGAGCTAAAATATAATTATTTATAAGGAAATATCATAGATTTTAGATGAACTTACTATGTAAAAAAGTTAAAATAAGTGTAAGTAAAAATGCCAAAATTGGTCCAATCTGATTTTTGCATTTGACAGTAATATAAATTTTAGGAAAATCAGCGAAATGAAAAATTTGGTGGTTTTGAGACTTTGGATATCAGAGTGCTTTTTGTGTACCTGCAATGAAGTTTCTAAGAGAAGTGATTACCAGCTTTCTGCAGCAATCATGTTGCCGTATTGGTAAATAAATATGTTGGTTTTCTTTATTTTTGAGTATTCAGTATACTATATTGAACAAAATGGTTATGCGGCCCATTCTCGTCATTCTCTCAGTTATCTGGCCCGCTGTGAAAAAATTTGGTGATCCCTGGTTTAGATAATGCAATGTCATGCAATAGAGGGCAAATCAACAGACTTGAGTTGAGTTAGATAAGTCACAAGCAAAAAGGTGACTAGATGGCTACAACTGTTCAGAAACTATGCTATGAAAACAATTCCAAGCAGCAAGAATCATCACCAGAAGAACAGGAAAAGGCTGACCAAGATCAACAATCCCTCATGAAGGTCATCAATTGGCTTTAACTGCCATATACCATAGATATGACATCCAAACATCTTGTGAAGTTCACTGCTGTCACTGGAACATTGGTTTCAAGACAAACAGTGTATAGACAGCTAGCAGAGGAGCTTTATGCTAGACAACCATTGATGTGTCCCCTCAGCTCCTCTTACATGAGAACCTATCTTTCCTGATGCTATGAGCATCATCTCTAGACACAAAACTAGTGGGTCCTTGTTATGTTCTCTGATATGGTCTTCAATCTGATTCTTGGCACATTAACATCTGCAAAGCATTGTTACTGGGCACTGAGTACACTATCAACCCTCATACATCAGGGAAGACAACTGCTGTGGTGGTGGTGGTGGTGGTGGTGATGTCCTAGTATGGGAGACATCATGTTGGATGGCACACCCCCTGCACATCTTCAAGGGAGGAATGTTGAATGCTCAGCACTATGAGATTAGATCCATGAACCACATGCAAGGCTTTTTCAGGTAACATCAAACCCAGTTCAAGTTTTATGGACAACAACACTAGACCACATAGAGATCAGCTAGTTAGTGATTTCCTTGAAGAGAAGGATATTCACAGGATAGAATAGACTCTAGACCTAAACTTGGCTGATCATGTCTGCAATGATCTGAGGAGAACTACTGCATTATTTCAGTCCCCTCCCAAGACCAAAGAGCTAAAATCCACTCATGAAGGAGGGGGGTTTCATTGCATCAGCTTTCTCTAGAAGCTCACAAACAGCATGACTATCCATTGTGGGTGCTGTATGTGGTCATACTCCTTATTAGTGTCTTTTTTCTGAGGATCTGCTACCTCATGTTTTGGATAGTCTTGGCAAAATCTCTAGAAATTAATTTTTTTTTCATTTTATAGGACTAATTAATTCCTCATGGATTGAGATATCCATGTACAAAATTTTGTCAAACTTTACCAGATACTTTTACAGATATCCTACAATTTGTGTTTGTTACAATAATTTTGGACATCAGTATAGTTATATTCTATTCAGTTGAATTTAAATTCATTTAGAATTATAAAGCAATTTCTTCTTCAACTACATAATCAGAAAAATAATGTTTGTTCAAAGCAAGCAAATAATGATACTATACTAATATCCTCCAAATATGAACCTATACATTTGCTAAAAACTATAAAAATCTTTATTCAATTTTCAAATAAAAATTTTTAGAGTGAAAAGAAGATAATAAAATCATTCAAATATCTAAATAATTAAGTAAAAACATTAATATGTACAGTACAGAAAGTAGATAACAAAGCACATCCTTTGTACTGTACATTGAAAGTGTAATGACAAAGTAAAACAGTTAAGTAGCATGAGGAAGAGGATCTATCAGATTTTTCTTATTCAACTACTATTATGTTGAGATAAAATTACCAAATTGTTTCTTTAAAAAATTAAAATTGAGATCCTAAGAAGAATTTTTTCAAAGTATACGAAAGAAAATAGAAAAAAAAATGTGTAAGACTATAAAGTAAGTTAATAGAAAAAAGTTTGATAATGATATGGAAGAATCTAAAAAAACAATAACAGCTGATGATGATATATGTTATTAGGATATTTTTAAAAAATATTAAAATGTTTATAGATAAAAATACACACACACACACACACACACACACACAGTAATGTAGTTTGATAAGATTAGAAATGTAAAATACAAGGTAGGTTCAAGTCAAACTGGAACTTTTATTAACATGGAAAGAATAAAAAATGTTGAGTGAAAACTGCATTTATTTTTCAATATACTCTCCTGCTAATTTATATGCTTATCACAGTATTTAACTAATGCTTGGAAAACTTCAGCATAAAAAGATTTGTCAGTTTGCCTAAACCATCCTAAGATAGCCTGTTTCATTTTGTCATCAGTGCTGAAATGCTGACCTCCCAGAAACTCTTTTAGATGTCCAAACAAGCAAAAATCACTCAGTGAATCCATGCTGTAAGGGAAATCTGGCAATATTTTCCACTCGAGTTACTATAATGTGCAAGCGATATGGTGAGCACTAAGAACTCGTGTTGTTTGGGAGAAACATGACATTTAGTGAGCAAACCAGGGACCTATTCTGAGCTCTTCCAATAAGTCATAGAAAGTGATAAACAAGACATTCAATAAGTCTCCTTAGTGAGAAGCAGTTAACAAACCTTAGACAAATCACTATTCTCAGCTCCACTTTATGTTTTGCCAGGGCTATGGAATCAGAGTCGGGAGGAATTTCTGGCCAGAGAAGTCAGAGTCAGAAAAAATGTGTCGACTCTGACTCCTGCATTTTAAATTTACTTTAGTTTTTTATTTAAATGAAAGAAAATTTATTATATATTTATTAATTTTTAAAAATTGTTTTGTATTTCGTTATAATTCATTTATTTTAAATACAAAATGCATCAATTTAATTTATTAAATATGTAGTAGTATTCTTTGTACTATTTGTGTTTAGTAGTTAAATTATTTTGACCAATTGAATTTGAATATTTTTGAATCATTCCTTTATTAACTCTGCTCTAAATAAGTACTCTATTTTTCTGAATGAGCTAGACTAATTAATCAGAGTACATAGTTTTCTTTTCTGAACAAGGGACTGAAGTAGCTAGCTAGATCACACACTTTTTAGTTGGACTAACTCTTCTGGAAGGGTGAAATTGAAGTGCAAATGCTGTCGAATATATGTAGATGTAATATTTATTTTANCAGTGTATTCATTAATTTTCATTTTCATGTAGTAAAGGCTCTATGCCTTCATAAAGGACGTACTTTTCCTTTGTTTAAGGGTATTTGGGCAGTTTATTCT